GAATCCTCAGCATTCTCCTGAGATTAACACTCGGACACACTGAAATATTCGTATTGGGACTTCCGGCGCGAATTCCAAGCAGTACAGCATGGCGTTTCACAATTTCTGGTAGAGTGAATTGCGTCATGGTGATCTTTTTTCTCATAGACAGTGCGCAACTAGCCCTAAAGTACTGTGCAGTTGACAAAATCAAAAACAAAATGCGCATGCGCGAAATTAAAAATATAAAATGGCGAAAATTTACCAATCGCACTCTATATAAGTAAAAAGAAACAAATATTAAGTATCGAGAAAGAAAGAAACAAACAAAGAAACAAAAAGAAAGAAAAAACGTAACATGTAGAATTATAAAAAATATATATATATTAACTAAATATAAAGAAAATGAAACCTCGGTGGTGCCAGTGTTGCAGTTAGAGATTGCACGGCTGTTTTTTTTTTTTTTTTTAACTTTTTATTCACATTTTTCTTTCAATTTTATACCCAAATCTAATGAGGATAAAATGCAAAAAGCATTAACAAAGTGGGTAATTGAGTTCATTGAATCCTCATTGGCTGTTTTTGCCAATGGCTGGGGGCCAACAGATCGTCTCTAGCGAAAAGAGCGGCGCTAATTTTAGAGCCATTATGATTCGTTATGCTCGAAAGATTTCTGGAATATGAATATTGACGAGAATAAAAAAAAAGGAGGACATTTTGAAAAAAAAAACGACAAGAAGGAAAGGGACAAAATAGACGAAGAAAACATCAATAAGAATAAACAAAATTAGTAGCGATTATCATCAATACAAATAATATGTAAAGAAGAAGAAGAGAAATATAGAGAAAAAGAAGGAAAAGAGATCAATATGGAAAAGAAAAAGAAGAAGATCAATATGGAGTTTAGGAAAAAGAATATATGGAAGAAAGAAAGAAAGAATGAAAGATAATTTATGAAATGAAGATTACGAACTATGAAGAAAAGAGGAAAAATGGACTCTGATGAAGAGGAGAACAAATAAAGCAAGCTAAAGAAGAAGAAGAAGAAGAAGAAGAAGAAGAAGAAGAAGAAGAAGAAGAAGAAGAAATAAATAAATAAATAAATATACAGGAGGAGAAGAAGAACAAAATGAAGATGACAAAACAACATAGAGAAGAAGACGAAGAAGACAGAAGAAAGAAAGAAAGAAAGAAAAAGAAAGAAGCAAAAGAAAGAACAAAAGAAAGAAGAAATAAAGAAATATAGAGAAACAAAGAAAGAAAAAAAGAAATAAAGAAAAAAAGAAATATAGAGAAGAAAAAGAAAAAAGCAAAATAAAGAAGAAAAGCAAATAGAAGAAGAAGAAGAAGAAGAAGAAGAAGAAAAAAAAAGAAAGAAAGAAGATGAAGAAAGAAAATTTATGAAATGAAGTTAACGAACAATGAAGAAGAAGAAAAGAAGACGGCAAAGAAGAGAAGGAATAAAGAAGTTGAAAGAACAACTGAGTGAAAAGTAGATGAGAAGGAAAGCAATAAATGGAAAGAAAAGGATATAGAAGAAGAAGAAGAAGAAGAAGAAGAAGAAGAAGAAGAAGAAGAAGAAGAAAAAAGGTCAATCAAGAAAGAGAAGAAGAAATAAAAATTTGTTTCTTCTGAAGTTAAAATGAATCATTTACCCGCTGTTTTTGATTTGATCCGCTTCAAACATCAAAAGCAATGATGTGAGCAAAAGCAAAAGACACAATAAATTCGACAATATATAGCGTCTTAGATCAAGATCATTCTACGAAGCGCACATTAAACCTCCTCACTGCTGACACATTCCCGTGTTCATTTTTACAACACTCCCACACCACATTTGCCATTTTGGCCGCCTTTTTTGCTCCGATGGTCAATCAGTATTCCTCCAGTTCAGAATAGTTTATAAACAGTACACGGGAGAGTGAAATCTTAAATTATCAAACCCAGATGTAACTGCCTGTGCTGTGAGTAGCAAAAGAAAGTGATCAATATAAAGAAGAAGAAGAAGAAGAAGAAGAAGAAGAAGAAGAAGAGGTCAAAAACATACACAATAAAAGAAAGAATTATTTATTTATTTACCTGAGTTAATTTCAAATTAAATTTGTCGGACTTTAACAAACAGAATCGCAAATACCAAATCCTAAATTCTTGGTTATATTATAAAAAAAAAAAAAACAACTTCTACATGCAGAATAATCATGAGAGTACCAAATATGGCCAGATTCTTGATTACCAACAGATACCATTCACTTTTTGTTCTGTAATACCTAAGTAGACCTATTTTCATAGCACTGCTTAAAAAGCCAAGTGCAAACGAATATGAGCAGCATATGACAATCAGCCTAGTGAATTATATAACAAAACTTAACATCTAAATTCTGATGCATACATCGGACAGAAGAAGAGCGAAGGTTCGTTAAAGACACTGGAACAAGGAATGTAATATTTATTCTCAGAATGAAATCAGAAGAAAGGGCTTGATAAAGTACGCACAAAGAACTGTCGGAACTGCTCGTTAACCTTAACAGAACCTACACTGGCAGCAAGCCTTATGCATGAGGACAGAAATGTAATTTGGTAAATATACAAAAACAGAAACGTCTGTAAGACATGGAGGTTTCGTCTCACCGGACTTATTCAAGATACACAGTAAGGCGAATTAGAAGTCCTAACAGGATTCATTATTGGCAGCCACAATTTTAACAACATAACACATGCGGATGACACAGTGTTGATAAAAAATAAACACAAAAAGGGAACTGTAGCAACTCCTAGAGAAGATAGTGAAGGAAAAAGTTAAGAAACGACTAAAGATTAATTGCAAGACAGAATGCATAGTTGTCAGCAAAAAAAGGACAGCCTCACATGCAAATTACCAACTGAAGACCACGATAATTAAAAAACTTACAATAATTTAAATATCTGGGAAGTGTTTTAACAGACGACAGAACGTGTGACACTGATATCCGACGGCGCATAGGGATAGTGAAAGATGCCTTCCAAAAAGCTAAGCAAAGTATTAAGAAACAGGACATTTTTTTAGAAACAAAGAGAAGAGTACTGAACTGTTACGTAATATCAGTCCTCCTATATGACAGTTAATGCTGGACAATCTAGCAGATGGACATAAGATTCGAAGCACCACAAATTTGGTTCTACAGAAGGATACTGGGAATACAATGGACAGAACAAGTGAGCAACGACGAAAGTCTAGAGGAAACGGAAACAAAAAAAGACACTTAATATCTTGAATAGATAGATGAAAGTTATGCGGTACAAAATGAGAAAAGAGGTCTTGGAAAATTTGATAGCAGAAACAAAATGAGTTTGTGTAAATGGATGGTGAAAGAAGGTTTAGAATAGATAAGAAAATGAGAAAATTTGTTAAAAGCTACAAAGAACAGGAAACTGTGGAGAGCCATGATCGCTTACATCCTGAACGGACACGGCACACAGCAGAAACAAAATGAGTTTGATGGCTGGTGAAAGAAGGTTTAAGATATATAAGAAAAAAACAAAATTTATTAAGAACTACAAATGATAGGAAATTGTGGAGAGCCATGATCGCCAACGTTCTGAACGGACATTGCACAGAGAACAGATATCATTCTATTTTTTACATATCGCATCCTAAGCGAATCTACTAAGAGAAAACAGTGATTAGATTTTATATAACATATAATACACAGGGTACGATGGGTAAATAATCATCATTTTATATTTTAATTTCGCGCATGCGCCTTGTCTGTTTTTGATTTTGTCATCTGCGCAATATAGTAAGGTCAGTTGGGTACCGTCCGTGAGATAAAGAGCACAATGACGCATTTCACTCCGTCAGAAATTTGGAAACGGCATGCAGTACTGCTTGGCATTCGCACCGGAATCTCCAATACGAACATTTCAGCGTGTTTGGGTGTCAATCTGAGGACAATGAAGAGGATTTGGATGATATATCCAGGTAACACCATGAAGTGACCACAAGTGATGGCGACGTTATACCTCCATTCATCTTCCCACGGGAACTCAACAGAGAGGCTTCTATCATGTGCAGAGTATTCGGAAAGAGTTGGATGAGTCTAACGGTGATTACGAATGTAGGTCAGCTCGAAAAACTCACTCTGATCGTTCTGAACTCTCAAATTAGTTGATGAGTGCCTCAGACTTAACCCAGAGGCCGACATCAAGTGACGTGGGGGTAGTGCTGCTCAGGTTCAAGAGGTTGGCTGCTGGAAAAGACTATGTTTGGTAATAGGACTCTGCACCATGCCAAAGAAGCAAGAGAACTCAGTCATGTCTGTGAGACAATTTCTGCGATCACATCTCCCCTTACATCTGGCCACCTAATTTCCCAGACTGCAACGTCCTTGCTTATTATGTGTGGAGAGAGACACCAGCAAAACTCCTTGTAACACCAAAGATGAACTAAAGGCAAGAATTATGGCAGCATTCACCAACTTAAACAAGGAGACTGTCCAGAAGAGTTGCAGGAGATATTGAAGTTGTCTGGACACTGTGGTTGAAGCCAATGGTGATTTTATTGAATAAATTTACTCTTTAGTATTCCAAGATATTTTTGTGTAATTTTGGTAAATATATCTGTTAAAATGAGACGTTGTTGTTATTTTTTAGTTTGCGTCATTTAGGCGACAATTTATCCATCGCACTCTGTATACATTTTTTTCTGTGTGTGAGTATATTTCCGTCAGTGTCATGTTCCTCACTTGTACAAATTCGCACAGGAGAATTCAGCGTCTGAATCTAACCAAAATTCTTGTAAAATCTACTGGAACTTTTCGGCCTAAACACGAGTATTCGTCATCCATATCAATTCACTGGCACAAATGCGCGTGCGAGTGGCCTCTTCACAGATTGTCTGAAGAATAGGTTGCAAGGTTGAAAGATAATCGGGTCAGTTGGCTGACCGGACACAACGTCCACGTGAAGGGCCTGTGGACGAAAGGCTGGAGGAGGTGGTTCGAAGCCAAAGTCTCAAATCTATTTTTCGCTTCGTTGTGCTGCGTTTACCACGGACAATTCCGATTGACCCTGGGGAGGAAGGCCAGCTGGCAGGAAGAAGGAGAGTGGCGCGAAAATAAGAAATGGAACAGAACAATTCGGACTCGTTTTGTTGTTCTCATGTGACTAACAATGGCCGGAAGGAAGAATATTGGACTGGAGTGTTTGTTCGGCAGACATGAAATGGTAACCAAGATGGAGGTCGCTGGGTCGGGGAGAAAAAAAGTAATTAATAAGAAAGAAGGGGAAATCAATAAGAAAATTGAAAGAATTGAAAGAAAGAAAAAAAGAAAGAAAGAAAGAAAGAAAGAAAAAAGAAAGAAAGAAAGAAAGAAAGAAAGATAGAAAGGAAGGAAGAAAAGTAGAATATAAAATGAAGAAAGACGGAAAGAAAAAAGAATAGAGTTTAAAGCGGAGAAAGAAAGAAAGAACGTAAGGTAGAATAAGTTAGAAAGAACATAAAAAAGACAAAATGTGGATTTCAATAGAAAGAAAGAAAGAAAGAAAGAAAGAAAGAAAGAAAAAGAAAGAAAGAAAGAAAGAAAGAAAGAAAAAGAAAGAAAAAATAGAATTTTAAATGAAGAAAAATGAAAACAAAAAAGAATAGAGTTTAAAGTGAAGAAACAAACAAACAAACAAACAAACAAAAAGCATTTAAAGTGAAAACACATTAATTCTGAAAAATAGAAAGAAAGAATAGGGTTTAAAGCGAAGAAAGAAAGAAAGAAAGAAAGAAAGGAAGAAAGAAAGAAAGAAAGAAAGAAAGAAAGAAAGAAAGAAAGAAAGAAAGAAAGAAAGAAAAAGAAAAAATAGATTTTTAAATGAAGAAAGACGAAAAGAAAAAAGAATAGCGTTTAAAGCGAAGAAAGAAAGACAGAAACAAACAAACAAAAAGCGTTTAAAGTGAAAATGCATTCTGAAAAATAAAATTAAATAAAAGAAAGAAAGAAAGAAAGAAAGAAAGAAAGAAAGTGAAATAGATGAGATATACAAGGGAAGAAGAAAATGTGTAAAAAAAAAAGGACAAAAGAATCGGACCTTAATTCTAAAGAATTAATGATTATTGTAAGAAAGCAGAATAAAAATGAACATTTACTTATAAAGAAAAGGAACAATCGCGAAAGACAGACAAGTGTAAAGTGAAGTAAAACTAAAAAAAAGAAAGAGATTTAAAAAAAGGCAAAAAGAAAAAAGATAAGCAAAGCTAAAAAAAGAAGAACAATAAAAAAAATAGAGAAAGACAAAAGAAATAAAGAAAATAATTAACGAGAAAAAGAAAGACGAAGAAAAATCAAAGAAAAAAGAGTAAAAAAAAAAAGAAAATAGAGAAGGAACGAGAAAAAAAAAAGTATTGCAAAAAAGATTTTTTTAAAAAAATAAACAAGAAAAAAATGTAACCAAAAAATAAGTGTAATAAATGAATGACAACAGAAAAAAAAACGAATCAATGAGTTGCAAAGAAAATGAAATCGAAAAGAAGAAAACAAAAATTGAAGAATTTCTTTCCCGTGAATAAAAGAAAAATGATTCGAAATCAAGCAAGACATCAGAATTAAAGGAGAATATGAAAACGGTGTGTTTCATTAAACAGAGACAAATTTCAGCAATCATAATAAAATATCTACTTTGTGGCTAACATAGTTACATATATCTCACGGCTCTTGTAACCGGTACGCGAGGTCTGGGGCAAAGCGACCATTTTGAATACTATTAACTTGGATATTTGGAGCAACACGTCAAACACTGCCGGAAAGGAATGCTAATATCTAACTACAAACGTTCACAAACACAAAACAAACAAGCAAACGAACACAAAGGTGAGTACAAAATTTCCAACCTATATTTGTGTAATATATTAGCGACATCGTAGAAGTGTATTTGAAGCTGATTTGGCTTTTCAATGATTGTTTGCATGATATAAGAATTACACCCAGAGAAAAGTACTTATGAGCAACCCATTCCTGAAATAAGAGGACTTCAACCCAAGGATACAATCACAAAGAACAAAACTATTATGAAATTTACTACGCAATATTAAGTTTGATTGATTCACGTTTTTACGGTTTATCAACCCTTTGCAGGTTATTTAAAGCCAGAAAATATTTTTAGATTATAATATTTTGTTTTCTTTTTGAGATAATAATGATTTAATGATAGAGGTCTATAGCTAGGGAGAAAAGTGACAAAGACAATGACTACAAAGACTCTAGGAACCCTCACTGAGAGCTGATCCAAACAATTACCGTGAAATTATATATATATATATATATATATATATATATATAAAGTCACAGGTAAATAACCTTACGGCAGTGGGAAAGAGACTGAAACTGAGGTGCCAGAACAGGGTCAATTATATTGCTGATTCTTATTTGGCTTTATCATCGAGCTCTAGATATATACCAAGAGCACCGCAACATATATGGCAGCAATATTTTAAGCATGGACGCACAGTAGACTAATAAATATGTAAGATAAGTTTTGAAAAGAAAACTTTTCTTACTCGATACAGTGAATAAACGTTCTTAACATCTGACCTAGCAATGGATTCAATATAGTCTTTCTAATTCTTACTAATGCGATGCGCCAATCATACAACTGGAATTACAAGTTCATCTTCCTAGGCGTATTACCAAAACGTGTCACTTTTCGCTCTGTGCAATTTTCCTTATCTGATTAGAGCTTCATCATAAATTCATAATATCGAGAAATCCCTCCAAAATATCACAGAAATTAAAGCAGAACCTTTATTTTATAATAGAATGCCATATTTAGCTGAAATGTGGCGTAAGTCCATTGAAAACCAGAAAAAAAAATCTTCATGACAGACATAACGATGCGATAAAATTTACATAAATAAAAAAAAGTATTTTAAAAATTATAACTTTTGTCAACGTACTTATCTTGACTTCATTAGTCTGTGATTTACGTCTAGTAATATTATGTCAGTAACGATAATTTGTTCTCAGGGAAGTTGATCTGTGGTGGCCCCAATATATAACGGATTCAAATTTACAGATACAAAAATAGACTTTGATTGATTGATACGTTTTTTACGAATTAGTTTATATTTATAGACTGTACGATTTTTTTTTTAGATAACTAATTAAGCCATACTTGAGATGAGAAGTTTTAGATTCATACCTTTCCCATGGGTATTTGTGCGTAAGTGAATATAACGAACCTGGAATCGATCTCGGTTCTCCTATTAACAATTCTGAGCTATTATCCAACTCACCACCCGCATATCCAAGCTTGCAGAACTTGGTATTCCCAAGCGGCCACTCATCTTGGTGCTGACCAGGTTGCTTAACGTCTTTCAGTGTCTATGTGACCGTAAGCCTAAAAATATACTTTGCACTCAGTGTTACACCAGATCACGGGAGAAGTAAGGTGAATCAGAGGATACAGTTTCTCACTTGAAAGGAGAACCGCTGACATGTGCACACATAGGACAACCGTGTTGGGAGAAGATATATATGCGCCCCACCAGTAATGAAAAGCTTGATTTATGCACGCTCAGAGAAAAACAGAGAGCCGCCTATAACCTTACAGAGAGATATTAATTAAAGCAAAATTTCTGTCAATATTTATTATTCGATGACAAATGTTTAAGAACCTATGAAACGTAAACGACGCCATATTGATGAAGACAGAGAAAGAAAACTGCGGGAACTCCTCGACATGATAATAAGGAAATCATGACGAAAGGATAATTGTGGATGTTTATAATCTGCATTTAACTGAATTTCAAAGCGAGGTCACATATCGAAACGTTGCTTCGCCATCTTTAAAATTTGCTATTTGTCTTTATTGGTCAGGTAAAGTTGTGATAGAAATTATCATTGATTCGACTTGAAGAATATATTTACACTGCAACAGAGATACTCAAAGAATGGTAGACGTACCATTGGAAATAGAAAAGATAAATTTAATGTGTACACGATCAAGTCTATTGCACTCTCGGCGATTCACCTGTTTATATTAATTTTTTTTAGAACCATCAAATATCGTAAGTTTTTACCGCTTTTAATAGAGTAGAAATGAAAAATTTCCCAGTAATCCATAGAGGTTAATACCGCTAAACAAAATTAACTAAACCAAACCAAAAAAAACTGACAACTAATATTTCCAACATCCGTTATATCTGATAAGTTTGTGCCACGTTATATATGTAAAGATTGTGTTGTGTCAGTTATTTGATATGTGATTATTGCTATCATAGAACCTAGGAACAGACTTCTTTTTGACGGACGCAAACCGAAGTAGCTATCATAGTCCTTATTTATGTTATTTACATGAGGATTATTGTATTCATCTTTGTTGTTTGTCTATATCTCTGAGATGAGGGATTATGATTGCGTGCATTATTCAGACTGTTATCCTCATCTTCATTGATATGTTCACAACGTTCTGTTTTCTATATCTCTGAGATTATGTATTATGATTACTTGCATTTTTTCATCATTCGGACTGTTATCCTCATCTTCATTGTCATTCACAACATTTTGATCATTATACGGTCTGGCCTTTATGTCTATGTCTCTCTATATATCTGTCTATATCTCTGATATGAAGTATTGTAATTATTTGCATTATTTACATATTACGTTTCGGATTCTATATCGGTGAGATATCCTCATCTTCATTGCCATACATTATTTGAACTGTTATCTTCATCTTCATTGCCATATTCACAACGTTTCGGATTCTATATCTCTGAGATGAGGTATTATGATTATTGGCATTATTTACATTATTTGGACTGTTATCCTCATCTTCATTGCCATATTCACAACGTTTCGGCTTCTATATCGCTGAGATGAGGTATTATGATTATTGGCATTATTTACATTATTTGGGCTGTTATCCTCATCTTCATTGCCATATTCACAACGTTTCGGCTTCTATCTCGCTGAGATGAGGTATTATGATTATTGGCATTATTTACATTATTTGAACTGTTATCTTCATCTTCATTGCCATATTCACAACGTTTCGGATTCTATATCGGTGAGATGAGGTATTATGATTATTAGCATTATTTACATTATTTGGGCTGTTATCCTCATCTTCATTGCCATATTCACAACGTTTCGGCTTCTATATCGCTGAGATGAGGTATTATGATTATTGGCATTATTTACATTATTTGGGCTGTTATCCTCATCTTCATTGCCATATTCACAACGTTTCGGCTTCTATCTCGCTGAGATGAGGTATTATGATTATTGGCATTATTTACATTATTTGGACTGTTATCCTCATCTTCATTGCCATATTCACAACGTTTCGGCTTCTATATCGCTGAGATGAGGTATTATGATTATTGGCATTATTTACATTATTTGGGCTGTTATCCTCATCTTCATTGCCATATTCACAACGTTTCGGCTTCTATATCGCTGAGATGTGGTATTATGATTATTGGCATTATTTAATTATTGGACTGTTATCCTCATCTTCATTGCCATATTATTTATATTATGATTGAGCATTATTATGATTTTGGACTGTTATCCTCATCTTCATTGCCATATTCACAACGTTTCGGATTCTATATCTGAGATCTATTATCATTATTCGGCTGAGATGAGGCTTCTATCTTGAGATGATTATTGGCATTATTTACATTATTTGGACTGTTATCCTCATCTTCATTGCCATATTC